CGCGGAACATGTATTAAAAACGGCACCGTAGGGAGGTCGACGGCGAGGCGTTTCGGCATGCCGCAACACCCAATGACCTGGCCGTGGTCATCTCGCCTCCGTCGCGGGTGCTGGCGGTCAGCCCACGCGGTCTTGGCGTGTACAGAGGGCCCATCCCAAGCCTGCTGAACGGCTGGCTGCGATGCCGTCCTGAAGGATCCGTAGGCTCCAGGTCCTCGTGAGCCAGGAGGAGGAGGAGGAGGAGGAGGAGGAGGAGGAGGAGGAGGAGGAGGAGGGGGAGGAGGGGGAGGGGGAGGCGTTCCAGTTGGAGAATGAGTTTCACGCGCCTCAGGCGAAGGCCATGAATGGGGGCAGCTCCAGAAGCGAATCCACCGAGGCATGCGCTGGGGAACGCCAGCTTGGTCGACGGGCCGGTGAACTCAAGAGCTCGGGCTGGACATGTCGCACTTGGCAGAGACTGCGTGATGGCCATGGCAGGGCTCCAAATGATGGCCGCCCCGAGCTGACAGTAACGATCTCGAATCTCGGCGCAGCGGGGCGTTGCCGGGGGACAGGGTTCCTTTGGCTTCTGGCAGTGCGTGGCCGCTGTTGCGCTGGGTTCGGCTAGAAAGACTGCCAGGTGGGGCCGCTGTCGGTGGGGCGCCTGCCGGGTGCATCCCTGCCCCGCGGGGGTGCCGAGCTGCCTGGTTTGGGTTGCCCCCCCGGGGGGGACCTAACAAGGCAATATAATGTTGGGAGCCTGCGAGGTGGGCCCGATGTGGTCATGCTGTGATCCCTTCCAGGTTGTCCAGGGCGCTGGCGGAAGACCAGCTGGCGCCTCCATGCCTTCTATCATTGTATCCTCATGTCCACCTCCGCCTCTTCCTCCTTCCTCCTCCTCCGCCTCCTCATCCTCCTCATCGGCATTATCACCAGCATCCTCGTCCCTGCTCCCTCTCCTCCTCCTGCAATTTGCACCATCATCACCATCAAGATCCTCATCATTCGTGCCACCGTCATCCTCATCAGCATCATGAGCAGCATCAGCATCATCATCATCAGCATCATCAGCAGCAGCAAAAAGAAGCATCAGCATCAGCACGAGCATCATCATCATCATCAGCAGCAGCAGCATCATCAGCGGCAGCAGCAACAGCCGCAAAATCATCAGCATCGTCATCATCTGCAGAATCATCAGCATCACCATCATCATCAGCATCATCATCGTCATCATCAGCATCATCATCAGCATCAGCATTGTCAGCTTCACCATTAACACCACCATCAACAATAACATCAACAGCATCAGCAGCATCATCGTCACCATGCTGATGATCATCATCATCATCATCATCATCATCAGCAGCAGCATCATCATTATAAAGCATCACCAGTGCTACCATCCCCAGTCACCATCAGCATCATCATGATTATCATCATCAGTATCGCCATGGCCATCAGTATCAGCATCAGCGTCGACATCATGAATATCAGTATCATCATCGCAATCGTCATCGTCAGCATCAGCATCATCAGCATCAGCATCACCATTAGTATCATCATCAGCAGCATCATCATCATATCAGCAGCATCGTCATCATCATCAGCATCATCATCGTCATTGCCAGCACCATCATCAACACCACCAATAACAATAGCATCAACAGCATCAGCAGCATAATCGTCACCATACTAACCATCATCATCATCAGCATCATCACCAGTGCTACCATCCCCATTCACCATCAGCATCAACATCATCATCAGTATCGCCATGGCCATCAGCATCAGCAACAGCGTCCACATCATCGTAAAGATCAGTATCATCATCGTCATCGTCATCGCCAGCATCAGCATCATAATCAACATCAGCATCGCAATCGTCACTACAATAATCATCACATCATTAATTGTCAGCAGCACCATCCTCGTCATCGTCATCGTCATCATCATCATCAGAAGCAGCAGCATAAGCATCATCGCCATCGTCTTCGGCATCGTCACCATCACTAACATAACCCCTCACCACCACCATCGCGATCGCCATCGTCATCGCTATTGTCATCATCAGCAGCATCGATAGTATCATAATCGCCATCAGCATCAGCATCGTGTAGCCTTCATCAGCATTATCAGTCCTACCATCATCATCAGCATCAGCATCACCATCATCAACAACAGCATCACCAGCGTCATCGGCATCATCATCAGCATCAGCATCATCCGCATTAGCATCATGATCAGTATCACCATCGTCATCACAATCATCAACATCATCATCACCAGATCCATCATCAGCATCATCCTCAGCACCCTTGTCGTCATCATCACCATCCTGATCATCAGCATCATCATCATCATCATCGTCGTCATCATCAGCATCATCATTGACAGCAGCATCAGCATAAGCATCAGCATCATACTCACAATCAGCATCATCATCGGCACCATCGTCAGCATCGTCATCATGATCAGCATCATCAGCATCAGCATCATTATCATAATCAGCATCATCACCATT